AACTCTCCCAGTCAATCTCAGGGAGATTAAAATCTCCAGCCAGAAGTAAGTGAGATGGGTTGGTGTCACATACAGTATTCAACAGTTTTACCAGGTTGTTTACACTGTGGTGGCCATTGGCAGAAGGACTTCTGTATAGACATCCAATTACCAGCGTATCTGCTCCCTCTAGTCGGACCTGAATCCACAACTGCTCTACCAGTTCTGCATCACAGTAAGCATGTGTACTAGTCTTGAGCCATTCCTTGACATATATGCAAATGCCTCTCTGGCCACTAGCTCCCAGTCTTGCCTGAGAAAGGTCAAAGTTTGAATACATCTGGTAACCCGGCACTGCCAATAGTGCTTGGTCAATGGGAAGTACTTGGGCCTTAGGTATCACCTCAGTTACCATTATCACATCAGGCTCCTTACCGGCAATGCACATACATAAATCTTCTCTTTTATTAACTAATTGGTCTGCATTTGTATAAAAAACCTTTAACCATTTCTTCGTATCATTTCTCTTGCTGGGTCTTAGTCAATTCCGGGAACTGGAAGGGGCCAGCATTCGTGAACTTTGCGCATCTGGCTGAGTGTTGTGCTCGGGGTGTCTTGCGAGATCACCAAATATCCCAGTGCTTATGCTCACTGGGTCAGACGATTGTCTCCCGCTCCCCCCGTTGGCACATGTCACAGCAGGAGCTGCAGGAGCTGGGGTTTGCTCACGGGGTGTGGCAGCGGAAGATTCAGTGACTACCACTTCTTGTTGCTCACTGTTCACAGGTTCCCGATTCACTTCCATCGGTGTAGGTCTTGCATCACGCTGGTGGATGGTTTTCTTGATGATCTTTCCTCGCCAGATCACCAGATCCCTCTCTCCAGCCTGTCTTCTCCGAGCAAGTTCTTCCCTTGTCTTCTTGCCCTGCTCACGCTCAAGCTTTGTCAAATCTGGTGTGATGTATATGTTGCCATATTCATCAGTGTCACGGAGGTCTCGGGCATGCCTCAGTATTTCATGTTTAGTGTCAAGGTTATCCAGTGAGATGATGAGGAGCCGTGGCTTGTCTGCATTCCTCTTTCCGACTCGGAAGCACTTTGTAGTATGAACCAAGGCCGTATGAACAACTAATCTCAATCCTTGTTGAATCATCACCTTGAATTTTTCTGCATCTCTGTCAGCTCTTTCACGAGCATTCTCACCAGGGGACTCCTTCATGTTGTGAATGACTAGGTTGACTAGGTTGACTAGGTTGTATTTAGGGCCTTGGGTTCAGCTTTCTGTGTTCCTTATCCAGGAAGGAATCCAGTATCCCGAGGGCTGTTCACGGGCCCTGTGTGCGGTCGGACCGCACACAGCCTCCAAGCTCCGCCCACTGCGTCCCTACGTCAGCCTTCCGTCACCGCACACAGCGACCGCTGTGGCCGGTCGGAACTGGCCACAGCGGACCGTCCACCGCACGCAGCCGTGACGTCAGAGCCGCCTACCCATCCCCTACCCCCACGCCTGCTGGACGCACCGCACACACCGCACGCAGCAGTGTGCGGTGCCCGTGAACACCCCTCCGGCTACCTCATTTCTGTTTTGACCTTCAGTCCCCCTAGAAGCATTGCCCTGCGTCACTGAGTTTAGCTTACTTGTGACCTCTTTCATCATATCCTTGCATTGCATGATCCCTTCACAATCTCAGCAAAGCTGAGCTGAGTCTGATTTTGTTCGTGGTCCATCTTGATTGACCTTTCAATCAACTTTGTTTGATCGGAGATGTTTTTCTCCTGCTCTTTAAGAGCCCGCTCCATGAGTTTCATGTGCTGCAGCAGTGCCTTTTCCACATTGCACAGTTTCTGATCCAGAGACTCTAGTTTTGTCTTACAGTTGTCTCCGTCTCGGGTTTCTTCGATTTTGAAAACTTTTTACCATCATGGAGGCCTAATAATGGACGTTTTTAGTTATAAAATGAAGCAATGAATCTAATGAGGGCAAAATTTAATCATTTTTAGCACTTTTAGGCCGGGCTTTCCTGGCATGAACTTCGGCCAGTTTGTGTGTAAAGCCTATGGTGAAGGGAAAACTTCATACCCAACTGACGTCACAGACCCCGGCTACCAAATCGTGTCCGGTGGGGGTCGACAATAACGATGGAGAAGTTACAAAACTGGCGCAAACTTCGACGGTGTGTGTGAGGCGGGCGCTAGATAACAGTTGGTGACATACCAGGGAAATAAGCTAAAATTAGAGCGCTCTATTTATTGCTCCTGCCCCATGTTGAAGAGATACCCCTAAAAGCGTGATCTTTTATCAGCCCTTACGCAGCAAGGCAGTACTTCTCAGACCGGTGGATGGTATCAATAGAAAGAGAATGCGTCAAAGATTAACATGAATTAATTAAAATAACATAAAAATGATAATTAAGCGTGGAAATTAGTCCCAAACACAAGCCAATTATTGCTCCTACCTCGGCGACGGCGCTCCCCGCAGTCAGCGGAGAAGCTAAAATAAAAGCCACCATCCTCCTCCGTAAGTCAATTTTAGAGCGGCCGAGTGGGCGATGCGGGGCCACCAAACTGAGGTGAGACGTGGCTAGCAATTGCGAACTGCCATAGAAATCAATATCTTAAGACGTACAATATGGGATGATTACTCTGAAGCCGGAGTGAAAGCATGAGTAGATTGCAAGAAACGAAATGCATAGATTGGTTGAATTATGTACAATAGGCACAGCTCAATAGAAGAAGCCATTTCTATGATATTGACATTTGACATACCCCTTCCTCTCCTCACCTATGACCTAAGTGCATTGGCAGTTGCCGGCATAGTTTTTGAGCACGAGTGTAATTCGCCATCGGACCGCAATGCATGTTGCTAAATGCTAGGCTGCTGCAATTACAACGAACATACGAATACTACCTTCATTTGTAGACGTTTTTTTTTTAGGCGGTCTTAGACGTACAAGGGGGCATACCTGTCGACAACTTGAGTTTCTCCGAATTTCAAAAACTCCCAGAATTTCAATTCCCTATGCACTGTTGTAGGCACAGCTATGTTCACAAGTTTTCGTTTCCTCCTGTTCTAAAAAGGATGATATTTGTCGATTTCGTGCGTCGCTGATAGGAGGGTGCGTTTAATAATTAGGCCCAACGCTTTCTGCATCCGCGAGTACCTTCAAAAGGGAACAACAGTTTCCATTTATTACACTATGGGACATGTGACAAAATGACCACTGGAACACGCATGAAACGGAGCTCATATTCCTAAAAAATATGTCTACAATCACTTCTTTTCTGACACTATTAGCAAATACCATCTCAAGTTAGGTGGTTGACAGACAGCCAAAGGAGATCTGGGGAGACTGAGTGATGCCAATTCACCACTTAACTGATAATGAGGGCCGAGGGGAGAGAAACATGCAACATGCACAACTGACAACTTGACAAGTGACAAAACACTACCACTATTGCGCAGTGCACAACAAATTACAGCAGCCAGCCCAAAAATGCTTTTGGTGGCTAATTGCAAAACAAGTCACTAATAAATGTCTTAGTTGCAGCTGAACACTGCACAATGATCACACTGTTCACGCATTGAGTGAGATGCCACAGGTGGTTTGAATCACACTTTGGTACAACTGCAAATCTGAAGTGTTGTCATGAGGTTCATGCCTCCATGATCACAGCACTATGGTTGTGGTTGGCATAACACTTGTAGTCTGCAGAGTTCCACATGAACTGCAGACACCTCATCTGGTGGTCTTCATGTTGCTCAACTTCTTCAGGAGGCAAATGTTGACCACCCAGCGGAAGCATGGTCCTGCAGAAAAGAAAGGTAATGCATAAGGTACAAACATTATCTGCTGAAACAGCCCCTTCTGTTGGCTGTTATTTAACTTTTAACATAACATAACAACATGTATTCCATGTATATTACATTTGTTGAAGTAAAATACTGCCGGCTATTTCAAAACCAGAAAATAAAATTATATTGTGGCATAATTCACATGCTCAGCCATCAGTATCAAATAATAAATTGATTTAAAATTTGGCATATTCTATAAAACACATTCATAGAATATTCTACTTCACGTCACAAGGACTCGCAATCTTTCTGTTGGGTGTTTGATTGACGCATTAACGAAGTTTGTCTTAGGTTTTATTATTGCAAGAAATTCATATTGCATTATTGTATCAAAATACTGCCAGCAATAACAAAACAAGAACATGAAATGTCAATGAGCAAGCCGACTTTCCTAAAAATGGGTTACTTTGAAAAGAATTTTAGTTTCTTTTAAGGAAAAGGAGAAATGATTATCAGGTAATTATCAGAAAACCACTCAACGAGCAAGTGGCTGGGTGGTTTCATAGCAAACATCAAGCCAAAACATATATTTACATTTATCTAACAATTGAGCCATTTGACTACTACAAGGATATGTGAGCAAAATAAGAATTCAATTATCCAATGTTGACTTCCTTGCAAAGTTTATGCCTTATTTTATGAAAATACGTCACTAGAATATGATACTTATCATCGAATATTATTTAATTTACGATTTATTTCGATCGAAACGCAACTGGAGTCCCGCGCCATTTTCGTCGACGATGAATATGATCGTGTTTCATGAAGAGATAAGGGGTTCAATGGTCTTTCAAAGCAATAATTTGATGCGGAACTTGGTAGGAAATAATGTAAAGCTGGTTCAAATGGCCATCAACCATTTTAAACACCGAAAATACTCACAACTCCGTCCCAACGACCACGCAGCACCGCGCACGCCACACAACTGGCATAATGCCAAAACTGCTGTCACAGCAGAAATGTTTTTTTTTCTCGATTGCAATTGTGGAATTATTTATTAAACAGAAGATGATCTTTCCGAAAAAGCGACTGATTTCATACACAGATGCATGGAAAATAAAAAAATCCCTGTACGTTTATTTGTATTGTTTTGTCGATTTTGACATGCTTCTAGTTTGCAGCCATATTTCGATATGTTCTACAGGGAGTTCAGAATTATTTCAGGACCAATCTTTTCCTCGTTCATTTTCCCGTCGATCATGAAATTTTTAGAGCGGAACAATTGGTTTCCAGGCGGTCCGAGCGGTTTTCGTGAGAAGGGTGCAAAAATCGGCGTCATTTTTAGAGCCTCGACACCAGCTCAACACAGGACCCTATGGGAGACGGTGAAGTAGCGGAAGCAATAAATAGAGCGCTCTAATTTTAGCTTATTTCCCTGGTGTGTCACCGACTGATAATATCTGTAAGGATCTTGAGATAATGTTCGATGTTTGAAACTTATAAGATATGATATTTTCTTCCTTACAATGGGTTTCCTAAAAACATTGAAAAACATGTTTTCATCTTCATAATTGTTTTATTTGCGTGGAAGCTGGCAATTCAGGCTGAAATGCTATGCTAGTCAAGGCAATGTCAATTAATGTTGATTGTTGCATAACATTATTGCCATGCTGTTTTAGACCTTCAGCACCTCTGTTCATTGCCTCTGGTTCCATCTTTTTTTGCCATGTTCTTTGCCTAGATAATTTGATTGGAAAAAATTATGTCTTTTTTTGCATTTCAAAAAAATGCAAATTTTTTTCGTCTTTGATTTGAAAACAGACAGGCCAGGGTCGGGGTCAGGCTTAAGTCTCAACGAATGCTCCAAGTCCACAACATCAACATTGCAACACTGGGTTCAAGTGATAAAACGTTTTATCACTTGAACGAATGAAGGAACGCATCCAAAATATATTCAAGTGTTTTTGTAACTTTTGGCAATTTTTAGAATTTTGAACAGAAGGTTATTCCATTAAACATAATACATATAATGCTGTTCACCAGAGTGCTTGATCATTTGATTGCAATTATACAATTGTTTTTCACTTTAGAGATACACTTCACCTGCTGAAAAGTTGTTGGCATACTCATTACCAATCAGGCGTCTGCTCCACCTGCCAGTCTTAAAAAATTGTTTCAACATTTACATTGAATTCCTTTTCCAGTTTTTCACTTTGTCAAGACTCAACCACTATGTCCACGGATGAGAAGCCGCCAGCTGAGCCAGGAAACAGAGAGGTTAGTTGAAGTGATCTCAGTGTTTCCTCCATTTGCGTAGCTAATGTAGTCAGTTTTTATTTTGCTGGTTCATGTCCTGTAAGACATGTATTTATTTCTTATGCTTGCCTAGTAATCCTGAAACTATATAAAAGTGATAAGAAATTAGAAAACAATTATTGCTGCATATTAATCCATATGCACTTGTTATTTCACCATCAGCAGTTTGCTAATGTTAAAGTTAATAAAGATGTGCCTAACTTTACCAATGCAGCTGAAGATTTTCTGCCTGCAGACTGCTCAACTGGTCTGATCTGTGCTCAGGCCTCAGACTGAGATCTATAGGTATTAGGTTAGGTTAGGTACCCTTACCTCAGATCTGCACCAGCAGTCAGCACTTCACCTGACTGTGGCATGACCATGTACTGAAGCTTCCCCCGTCTATCGCCAGGTGTCACTGCACGGCCGGCAGCTGTCGAGCATCCCGTGTTTCCGCCAGACCTACCTGACCGGCATCGGGTCGGGCCTGGCCGCCGGGCTCACCACCTTTATGATGACCAGTCGGCCGCGGACGGCGAGTCATGTGGCGTTTGGTACATTTTTCACCACCACCCTGGGCTACTGGTGAGTCCGTGCACTGGGTGTGGAAAGGGTTACTGGACAGTCAGTGTATTGAGAGTGGGACATGCTACTGATGAGTTGATCTACATACCGAGGTTTCGGATGAAGTTACTGGTGAGTATGTATAATAGCGTATGAGACAGGAACTGATTAGTCGGTTTACTGAGGCAGGCAGACCCTTACCTCAGATCTGCACCAGCAGTCAGCACTTCAACCTGACTGCTGCAATAATGACTGCAATAATACGTTCAGTTGATAGCGGTGTACCGTTGTAACTAGGAAGACGATGAGGCGTCTTGTGAGGATAGTTTGCGTGTGATCCGCTATGCCGTCGCCTGCCATGCAATGTCATGAGGTAAATCGGAGGCTTGGCGATTCTGCATTCGTCGATCGTAGGCTATAATCGCTGACCGTCACAGTATTCGCAAACCGTCGTAGGATAAATGCAAGCCAGAAATAATGGCAACCATAATGGCAACAGCCAACAGTATCCGGCTACGTCCGACGTTGACATTTTCTTCAGCGTCCATTAACCCGATGTGTCATTGCTTCTGAATCCGTCTCAATGTTGGCCCGGATGTCGGGAGCGATAAAACGACTTCCGCAACCACTGCCGGTATCGGAAATGGCCCAGCGTCTGAACATCTCTGGAAAAAGACGTACCGTTCGGTACTTACCAACAGGAAGCTGGAATGGAACTTCAGGGGACAGGGACAATACCGGCCAGTAGAGACTTTTTGTGGTCGAAATTATATTTTCAAAACTTTTAAAAATGGTTTTAAGCATACCGCTTCTTAATATTTGCGATGCGTGCTGCACAGTGCACGCTGCACACTGTACAGCGTACAATCACGGAATGTAATGCACGCTGTCCACAATTATCGATGATGGAGACGTGTGGTCACTTCTTAGATCTTACGATACAACTGAATAATACGTTCAGTCATTTTATCAAAGTGCCCTCATCAGATGCTGAGAGGAGACGAGTTCTTCGGATGACGCCTCATTCAGTTGATAGCTTATGAGTTGTGAAGTCTGTCAGCAGTTACGATTAAAGACATGCTGTTGAGCTAGGCGGTATCCCGCAGCTGATTTACGTCCTCAGTTTCACGTTACTTTTATCATTTAACCACGTAACAAGGATATTGTTTTACGTCTCCGTGGCCTATCCCTCAGTTCAAAAGCACCTCTTCTTAATATTTGACGGTAATTACCGTGCGCAGTAAACACCAACGATATCGGGTGTTTTGCACGAGTTCCGACTTTGTAAGTCAGGTAGTTTGCTCGCAAAAAGCATCCGAGCTTCAAAGTAAGCGAACTAATTTAGACAAGGGTCGGGAAGTGTCGTTAGATAATTCTCATAAAATACTGTTTGCTTGATGTTGAGCAAACAAGGTTTTTGTTGGTGCTGTCCGGGATTTAACGCACACGACTTGGTGGTGGGTAACCGAAGGTTTGTTGTCAATAGTTAAAACACTATTCTTTAGAATTGTGTTTCGCGGCGGGCGGGCGTTTTTCACAATTCAAAGTTCAAACCTTCGGGCCACAGCGCTCCTCGAAAAGCGCTGCCCTCGAGTATCAGAGGAATCTGTGTTTTCGCCACGAAACACAGCCTCTGCTCTCTCCTCTCTGTGACAGAAGTTTGCCACCTCATTGTCTATCGATTATGCAATTGTATCGTGGAAATTTCTGTGTGGGCTCCGGCAATTCTGTGACGAATAGAGGGATGGATAGATAGACTGATAGACGGACAAGTGGATAGTTAAATGGACACAAGAAGGTATACAGACAGACGAAATTGGATCGACGGACGGAGGGAGCCGGACGGATGGGCGGACGAGCACGCGTGCCGAAGGACAGGTGGACGGCGCAGCTGTGTAGCTGACACCTAGCCTGAGGAATATTCTCGCTACACGCACCACTTGCCACACAAGTTCAGTGGTGGAGTGTTAGCAGGCGTGCCACCGAGGTCTGGAGCCCAGAACTCGGTGTGAATCACATTGATATCACCTTACGGCAGGCGCTGTGACATCTTGCCATTCCTTTTTAGGGATTAGTTGCAATCAGATAGCACAGTCCACCCCACGGAGATTTTGCTCCACGCCGGCCCATCCACTTGATCAAGGTTACAGCGTATTAACTTGGGTTCCGGTGTGACCCGCGGATCAGTGCCGGGCCGGACAGCGACTATCGACCAAACGGTGCGTTCAGACAACTCAGACGGCTCGGCTGGTGACCCCGCGGGGGGCGCGGTCACGGCTGACCTTAGCCGGCCGGCGGGTGGGGTGGTGGATCATTCAGTCTGAACATGGGGTAGAGTGCATGAGGATGAACACTCCGTTAGTTTCCGCGTCAAAATTACCTTTGGGCTTGAAATAATTTCGAATTTGACCGGGCATTTCAACCCCGTCCACTCGCCTATAAGACTTCTGACTTTTCGTCGAATTGACTCGCTTTCAATATTTTTCATTTTCATAAATTATTTGTTCGTTGTCACTATTAGACAACTGGAGGTTTCAGGCCGATTTTTCGTCATCGTACTGCAGTGACTCGATAAGTGCTTCGATTATTAGTCATTGAAATAGTTGCCGGTCGGGTCTTATTCCTTTTCACGGTGCGGCAGTTTGCTTTTCACTCTGAAATTGCGTGCGCCCTAGAAATCGACCTTCCGGTTTTATCGTAGCGCCGGACACGTTTCTGGCTATAAATGTGTAAAATTGGCCGCTTGCGTGACCCCCAATGAATGAATAATCAGCACCGTGCTTACATAGGGCGTGTGACATGCAGGCCGTGATCCTCCCCGTCCCTCCCCTCCCCTCCCCCTCGTTGGGGTCCTGTGCGTGCAGGTGTGTGTGACACTCTGAAGTGCACTGGTTTGCTGCGGTCCTCGTGAGTGTGGCACGTTGACGTATTGAGTTCCAAAGCCCATTAATGTTTGGACCGTGGACACGGCCATATAGTTCTTGAAACGGGGGCAATGGCGGGTCTTTTTGGTACAGGTGAAGGCGTGGTTGCGACTTGGGTTATGATTTATGAATAAGGCGTGCATGTGTCAATGTTATGGTTGGTAGTTAAGTGTGATAATCGACTTTCAAATAGCACAACCAACGACGGTTCTGGTGTGGCCACAGTCCAGGTTTGACTCGAGTGCTTACTATGTCCTGGCAGTGCAATGGTGTGGTCTGCCTTTTCCCTGCTGCTCATAAAGTCGACCTCTTTTGAGGTGAACTAAGGCTTCCACTCTTCTAATATATTCATCACCTTACACGTCGAAGTGTTGAACGGACCAAGGACAGTCCTACACTCGAAAGCTATCAAGTATCAACTATGTATTTGATAAACTGATTATCCTTTGTTAATGATGAAGAGGAAAATTCGCCGTCATATCCTTGTTGCTGGCGCGTTGAAACAAAGCAGGTTTTGAAGCAGGTTTTCGTGCCGACATTTGACGAGCATGCGTGTGTTCTCTTTAGCAACAAACCTTTCCAGGCAAAAGCCAAGGCAAAGCTATGCAAATCGATGGCTGGTAGACCTTGATTCTCCTCTCATCTAAAACATGAGACTGTTTTATCGATGTACTTGTACTGTTGTATCTACCGACACTTGATGTATGGCTGTTTTATCGATACGCTGGTGACTTGACCTAGTCTGTCTGCGTGTTTCTAACCATCGCCCTTTGGCCGCAGGTTCTATTGTCGGTATACATTCGCGCGCGCCAGCTTTCATCACCGGCAGCTAAAGCACGCCATGAAGCAGCACATCCTCACTGAGGGCACCGACGAAGACGTCGTGGGGGTCCCGGAGGGGGGCGCAGCGCCACCGACCCGGCCAGAGATCGCCGACGCGTGAGGCCGGAGCTAGTGCTCGTCTGTAGTTCGCCGTTTGGCCGCTGCGTGTCGCTGGTGTCGTCTGAATCCCACTGCAGAGGTGTGCCGGGCTGTGGCCAACCCCGCGATGTCGGGTCCGTGCAGTCTGCTGAGGGACGGCTGAGCGCTGCCCGATGGACAGGCCGCCCACCGGCGCACGGCTGTCTGCCCAGTGGTATTCTCCTGCTCATCAACCAAACAGCGTGTCTGCTACCGCCATCCGCCGCCCCCGTCCTCCGTCCGGCAGTAAACTAACGACCCGTCGGCCGGCCGGTCAGCGGGCCAGCCCAGTCCGTATGGACCGAGGCAGGACCACCCGTCAGCAGAGCGTCCGACATGAGGCGCCCGCCCGGGTGGCGACAAAACTGCCACCGGGCCACGGCAGACAGGACGTGCTCGTGACGTGCTCGTTAGACATGCAGACTGGACGTGCTGTCCAGAGCAGGGTATCAGACATGCCAGTGTGCTGTCCACTACAGCCATGTGCCTGGGAAGTCGTGGGATAACTCAAATGCAGTCAAATAGTGTGGTGCTCAGAATGCGGACCGTGCCAACGTTTTGGATACGATTGTTTTACGTTGTGTATCCCGAAACTTGACTGGACCGTGTTCACTCTATTTACCTTGTAGGACCGTTTTACTGGAACCTCGTGTCGTGAGGAGTCGTTTGGAGGCGGTGTGAACCCCTTTAGAGGCCGTTCACCCCTGTGACCCGGTTTCGTCCGGGATATATGCCGAGTCATGTATGTCGCTGTGAGCGTGTCGTGCGCTGTGCAATAAATGTCATTGACAGGGACGTGACGTGTCATCGTGAACTGAACATCACACGTTCGGTAAAACGTGTGCTACTTCGGACGAGTTAATTAGCACAGAGCTATGTGCTGTGTGTTAATCATCATTGAGGTGTGCGGCGGAACGTTCGGAACTGCCTGCTGGCATAAGTTAAATTCATAATGAAGACAAAGTGCCGCCGCCCAGACGATTGTTTGTCCTTGGATGGCGTAATACTCGTATTGTCTAGGAAGGTCGATGGCTGTTTGCTCACGGCATGTCTAGCCTGGTGATGTGGCGGCGGGCGCCCAGTTACATGCGAGCTTACTGTGCTCTACTGTAAGCACTCTTCACAGGGAATTAGTTTTGGTCGCAGTCCAAACATTCGTATTGAGGTCTCTGATGAGGCTTTCAGATGCTTCACTTGACTTGTGTAGCTTGTCTGTGGCCCTCAGATATCTACCTACAACATGCTTTCGCTATCACAAACTAAGTTCCTTACTCCGAAGCATACAAGATTGAAGGCAATCATTGAAGTGGTGTGTACTGGGCTCATTTCGGCTCTGTCCAGCGCCTCCACCCCTGGCTGGGTGGCTGGTGTCGCGTGCGGCGGCATCTTCACCTCGCAGGACCGCCGTTAGCGTGCGACGTTAGTGCCATCTGACGGCCCGGCGGCGAGTTACGAGGCCGCCGCATGTTATCAATTACGCGATGATGTATGCCGCCGTAAATGCGGGCGTAACTGGCGCAGACGGCGTCGCTCGGGTGCGCTGCGCGTTCCGCCCGGCGCCGTGGGGCGGACGGCCCGGCGGCGGGGGCGGACGGCACGCGGCAGGTCACACAGGGCACCGCGCCGCCGCGCCGCCCCACACGGCGCCAGTGAAGTCGCCGACACTTGCCGATCGAAGCCCGCCGCCCGATCCCCGAAAGGGCAACGTAAAGATGACTGGGAGCTGATATTCCAATCTGTCAAATTATTCAACATTCCGGCGAATACATGTATGACCGTTTTGCAAAAGTGAATGTTACATGACCGTAGCACGCATACATCACACGCTTTCAATGATTTGTGGCCCATCAATGTAGCGTGGACTGGTAGGTGGCCTTTGAAGTACCGTCTTGGAGCCCTCGACAGCGCTCAGGCGCAAGCGAGTAGCGTTTGCCGGGGACTCCTGCTGTGACCGACGCTCTCCAGATCGGCACTCATTCTGTACAGCTCTGATTAGCCCCCGGTACCTACTCGGCTCTCGGCTCTTTAGAGTCGACTGCCCATCGACTCATCTGACCATGTGATTCTCTGGTATAATAGCGTTGAGGAGTCAACGTCGCAGACGCGGTAAGATGAGTTGTGTGCTGTTTGACATTCATTACTGATGGAACTGGGGCTCCCCAGCCAGAGACCCCACGAGTCCGACAAATTGGAGAGATTCATTGGAACTCTCGTTAACACTTGTGACAAAAAGTCAATATATCGGCGCAATGTAGGATATGTCCTTAAAAGCAATCGTTTTGGAAGTAGCATGAAAGTTTTTATACACCCAGCCCGTGATCACGCGTGTGGCAAGGGATGACATCCACCATTTGCGTAGGGGAGAGTGGGGTAATTTGGCCGCTTTTTTTAGAAAACGATATAACTTAAAATTGACGACACATTTCTGCATTTCCTCAACGCTGGCAGGTGTCGCATTCATTTTACTTTACTGGACAGTGAACTTGAAATGATAGAGTAATTACTTATATTGAAATTGTGACGAAATACGAAGGTCTGCAAGGCGGCCAAATTGCCCCACTAGCAGGGTTATTTGGCCGGGGGTGTGGGGCAATTTGGCCGGTGTTAGTTTGCGGTCGGGATTTTCTGTTATATTGCGAGTCAGCTTCAGATTCAGCAATGACGTGTGTCCTATGACGCATTTGCCGCATTTTGGAGGTTGGCTCAGGGGTCACAGGGGTCAAAATAGCCAAATTAGCGGCTCTAGATGCGATCACAGTTTTTTTACGAATAACTTTTGAAGTAATCAAGCTGGGCCAAAACTTAGAGTACCATCGTAATTCTCTCGTCAGTCCGCATCGAAAGATATATGTGTTGACCTTGAGAAGTCAAGGTCAAAGGTTGACCTCGGGTCACGTTGCATCAGGTCGCTTGACCTCAAGGTCACGTGATTTCAAGGTCATCATGCATATCATTCGATGCGCCTTGGCGAGCTGAACAGAATGAGACCATTTGTGCGGCTGTACCATTTTTATGTAAGGATTTATTAGCAAAAAACGTTTGGTAACCTTTGATGACGTCACATGCTCTTGCAGTTGACCAATCGGAAGTAAGACATCAAAGTAGTCAAAGTTGGTCATGAATCATGTCATTTATGGTACAATTGACCATGAAAACTCGGCCGTCCCAGCATAGTGACCATGAGCGCACCGGCCAAGTTGCCCCGCTAGTCCCGGCCAAATTACCCCATATTGCCATTCTGAAATTTTTTGTCTATAAAGTCATCGCGGCTTTACGGAATTAGATAAAATTGCTCTTGGAACCGCTGAACACCCCCAAGAATGGCGCTATAATGTCTGAATTCGTTTTTAGCCCAAATACTAGGGGAGAGTGGGGTGGGTTGTATCAGTTTTTACTCCGAGACCCATAACCTCGTAACTATCCGTGATAAACTCATTATTTCCATACTATCCCCTTCCTTGATTCTTCTGCTTTTTTGTGCAAAGTAACTTTTCCGCTACCTCTACCAGTTTTTCTTCTACGGTCTGCCGAATAGAACAATGTTTTTGATACAACTTGCCCCATGGCTTGGGTGAGTTGTATCACATGGTGGGGTAGTTTGTATCACTATTTCACGTTTCAGGGAGTGTGCTTGCTACTGGTTTTGAACATAACAGCAACATTAAATGGGGTTAATACAATGTATAGGTATGCTCAAAGGCTTCACTTTATTAGACTAAACTTAGGTCAATGCAATCCCAACGAAACATCACAGACTAGACGCAAAAGTGGCCCGTTAAGAGCAAAGAAGCCAAGACATTGTGCCGAAATGGAACGAGCATTGACTAGCTACCTACAACCGGGAGCCAGGGCTTAGCTTTCGCGATCAAAAGCAACATACCCATACATACATACACACATACATGTTACAACATACCCCACCCGGCTCTGATACAACATGTACCTAGCCGACATCTTGGAAAAAACATCCTCGTGCTAAAAAACAGCGGACAGCTGGAGAAATCCGTTTTCACTCACGCAGCCTTAGAACCTACCCTCACCACCGCTACGGAGATCTTTCAAATTCGTGCACATCTAAATGCCCAAAACACACATTTTCTTGCAACTTATTTTTTTAGAGTGACATTTAAAAAACACAAAATCGGCTCTCACCTCGAGACGCGTCCACTCAGCCACAAGACAGAACAGGGAAAGATGGCGCCCGGAAAACCTCGTCGGCTGGTCGTGTCGCGTGCGCCATCCATTGGATAAGTTTGGCACAATTCGCCCTGATACAACTTGGACATGATACAACTCTCCCCGCTCTCCCCTACATGTTATACAACTTTATAAACAGAAGTAAAAGTTACCATTTTCTAATGAAATTAACGTTTTATTAATTTTGAATAAAACTACGAGGGGCAAAGTTTTGACATTTGCCCTCCAGTTATTTTTACCCATGACAAATGAATAGAGACTAGAGTTATTTCACTCACTTTTATTAGACATCGTACAGGTGGGGGCGGCCAATTTACACCACCGGCCAAATTACCCCACTCTCCCCTACATGCCTACACGTAAACGCATGCCAAAATCTTCAAGAAGGTCGTACTAATACCTAACTATACCTACATCTGAAACGTCCCACGTGCCAAATACAGTTTAAACTGATCCATACACGGCACGGCTACCCACCTCTGGCGCAGTTCGGCGGGCGATTTCGGTCGCCGGTGACGTCACGATTAGGTCACAATCTCGGCCGGCGCAGCTCTCTGTGATCACCTCTGGCGTGTCGCCCCATTCAGCGGCCTATTTCATACGGGTAATGGACCATAAACGGCCTATATAGGCGGCTGGCAATAGACGTTGAGGTCTCCGGGCCGGCGCACCGCCGGCGCCCACTATACGTGCTTTGGCTGATAATGATCGATCCCTCGTTGGCGCTGCCGCCACCGCCAAACCGGCTGATAATGATCGATCCCTCGTTGGCGCTGCCGCCACCGAGTTCACGACGAATAGGTAGGAAAAAAGGAGGGGAGAAAAAAAATATGGAGTAGGTCCCTGTGTCGCGCCGTCACTCCTCTCCTCTCGCGGTCGCGGCCGCTCCCCGACTGAGCTCCCCATGTTATTGCCCGCCCGTCGTGTTTGCGCGCGTCCGTCCCCCGGCTCAGTGCCGGCTGGTCGCGGCTGGAGCCCTCAACGGGTCTTATCGGCGGCGGCCGATAAGACGGTCATTGAGGTCTCCGGGCCGGCGCACCGCCGGCGCCCACTATACGTGCTTTGGCTGATAATGATCGATCCCTCGTTGGCGCTGCCGCCACCGCCAAACCCGCCAAACGGAGAACCCTTCGCAACATAGGGCAATCGACACCCCGGAAACACCAGGGCAGCGTGACTCGCTGGATCTCGTTCTTGTGCTCAACATGAAGTTGCAAGAGTGTCTTTCGAAATGGCTAGAAGCAGATGGCTGGCCAGCTTTATGCAAACGACACAGCTATATATAAGTAAAGGTGATAATAGCATGTGGGATGCCCAAGCAGATACCTAAAGCGCGGAATACCTAATAAGCATGAACATTACGGTCACTTGGGTGAAACATCAATAAACCAAATCGTTCAAACGCCATCAGCACGTTCTTACGTGTAACCGCCTGGGGATATCCAGTGATACGCCGTAACTCGCGGGACAAGGAAAAGTCCGCTACTTGGGACGTCACACGACGAAGCGGCTCGCCGAGGGACACGCTGACACAGGGCAGGCCACGCCGCCGACCTGACCTAACCCACCAGGGCATTGTCGAGCGGACCCCTGCTAGA